CTTGCACACACAAGAGTCTGTTAGCTCTGTAATTAATTTTATGTCCATGAAAGCATAAATACATATGGGTACACATTTTATCATCTGTTTCTTTCCTTTAATGAAGACTCTGATTCCACAAGATGAGGGAAGAAAATTCTCTTTTCTGCTGACTCACTGTAACAGCAGTAGAGATTCAGACCAGTGGTTGAAGTGATGCTGAAAAAAAATTGGCTGCTTGTCTCTATTTTGCACAGTACTAAATACTGTATCAACATGCATTACTCAAAACACTCAAAATTTCATCTCTGAAATAAGAAAAGTACAAGTGCTTGTAACCTCTGCTGCTTTTGAAGCTTTCCCACTACAAGAATATTGATAGTGAGGCTATCTGGAGTTTAAACTCATTAGTAGAGTGAATTAAGCGTATCATAGGGAAATCCTTTTCAAGAAAAGTGGGCAATTGGCAACATTTTAAAGAAAAATCACCATCATCATCATAATCCCTAATTAGAGATAAACAACCAAGGAGAAACATGTATAGCGTTTCACAGGAAAGTTTTGGCGATGCTCTACTTTCACTGTTAAGGTTTTGGACTCCACTTGCCAAACACTGTTTGATTAAGGACTAAGGGTTGTTGATGGTCTCTTTCATTCTCTTTTTCAGAACGACAGGAATTCATTTAGTCCAAATTGTTTTGCATTTCCTGCAAATAGTGCGAGTTGCTACTTAACCAACTAACAAATGCAGTCAGTAGCAGAATGAGACATTAAACTGAAGACTGACAAATTCCATTATTTTTTCCAGCTCCAAGTCATGTTCCAAAGCAGATTGGAGCTGATGTAGACATGCTTCTTTCAACTCAGTATCTTTTTTTACAGAAATTTTTCAATTTGCCAATGCCATGCATTATTGGCATGTACTAATTTTGCAGGTCTATGCTTAAAACTGTGTTTCTATCAGCACATTCTAAGCACAGTCACTCATTTTATAGTGCATACAGTTATATCTCTACAATGTATTTTAGTCTATGGCAGCTAATGATGCTGCCTCTTCACTTAAATCCAAATATACTGTTGAGTTGCATTCTAAGTCATTATGATATTATCAAACACTTCAAAGATAAAAATGCATTTATATTTCCCAAATAAATTGCACCTGAAAATAATAGTTTGACATTGAATGCAATTGTTTTGATAATGTAATCTAGAAATTTCAACACTTACTAGTCCTGAACAAAATTTTAAAAGGCACTTTTTGTTCATTTGTCCATCCCCCATTTTGCACTCTAGTATTCAGTCAGGTTGTTGTGAGACATCTGCAAAAATTATCTGCAGTCTCTCTATTGCCATAACACAGACAATCCACCAGGTCCCTTCATGAACTGCAGAAACAAAGACACCTCTCCATGCTGCACACCAGTGTGCATTTTTGCATGTGTGAAAAGGCTTTCAGTAGAGTTGCAGCGAGTGGTATTTCTGCTACCATTTGATGGACAGTCTGATCCTGCATGGTTACTGTAAAATATAATCTGAAATAGAGGTTTAGAACTATGGTATACCTTTAACTTCCTGACATATGCAGCACAGTCTGCTGTTGAGGAATTTTCCTCTCTCCAAAGGCATAAGCAGACAAGGCAACACTAATGCTACTCACACTTTGCTCAGCGGGAGGTAATGCAAAATCAGCACAGGAGCAAATATCATATGAATAGTGTGGAGCTCCTTTTTCCTTCCCTCTCCCATCTCAGTTCAGAGTTGGAAAGTGCTAACATACAGGACAGATACCATTCTTCTTCAAGCAAAAAGAATGAAGAGAAATCATTTGGTAAGTGACCTCTGGGAGAACAGAATTTACTGAAAGTAAATAACTGACCTCCGTAAGCAGTGCGGTGCTGAGCAGCTACAGCCAGGGATAGAACCTGTCACAGCAACAAATTCATCTCTCAGTTGTACTGGTGTCACTGAGGGTCCTCTAAATTCACAGCTGGTGTTTCTCTAGCTCTATAGTGACGATATCAACATATCAGTTCATTGATGCTGCACTTATTATGATGCACTTATTAAGTATGGATATATTTAGCATCAAATACAGAGACAACAAAAAGTACTCTATACTTAGTGACATATAAATAAAACACAGTGAATTATTTCCCCCAATGGAACAGTTGAAAGTTTAAAGCATCTGTTTCTTTGAATACACTTGATAAAACAATGTTACAAAGGACGCACACATTTTAATTACTCAAAAACATATAAATGGAGTGTTACAGAGATAGATTAAGTAGGTATGGGAATTTAATTACTCAGGATATCTTTAGAGACTTCCATTCATGATATTTCTTCATTTTTAAACAAAAAAAATTCTCATCATATACCTATATGTCTATATCTAACGTAGGTTGTCTTTTATTCCAAAGGCTGCATTAATGACACAGCATAGATTAAAAGCAAATATTGTGAAGTATATAGAGCTCCAGAGTTCACAGCAAAATCATCCTTGTTTTTATAAATGTTATTGGTAGACTGCAATCCATTAACAGGCAAGCCCAAACTCAAACACATCATTAACAGGCTATTAAAGTTCATACAGCATTAATATATGACAAACAACCCCTTTACCGTATTATGAACTCATTCTCTTTTTCTTGAAAATAAATGCTGGCGTGATGCACATAACATACATGCTTCCCTTGGAAAGGAGACAGTTCAGAACCACAAAGTTTGAATGCAAAAATATGCCAAATGCATTTTCTGGGTACCCAATTTACGGAAATTAATGTGTAAAAGGAGTCTTACTAATTACTGAGAAAGCAACATGCAATCAGTGCATGTCCAGTTATGCAAAGGACAATGGGAAACACAGACCTGCAGAGAACAGTCCCTAAACCCAACTGACCCAGCACATTTAATGTTTTCTATCCCATGTTGTTTGCATGTACTTTCTTTCACTAACTTCCATTAAAATGCCTGCTCAGTTAGCCTATTAGCCTACCTGTAGCTGAAGCAGCTCTTACCTTCCTCAGATTTTGTACT